ATGGTTTTCACTCAATGCCGAGCAATGTTGATTCTGGCATTCCCAGGATCAGAGAAACTACAAGAGTACCCTGCAGCCCTGGCACTGCCTTCAACACAGATAGACCTGGGGAGGAAAGCCAGTCCTCTGAGATGAGTCACAGGTGTCCAACCCTCCTGGTTTTGARTGTCTTCTATTCTGCTTCCTCTGCTGCTACAGAATTGAGTCAGCCATAGACGGAAAGCCTAGAGCTACCAGCAAACCCAGAGAGAGATATTTTTGGTTAGCAGAAATTGTGACAACAGGAGCCAGTTCGTGCTTGAGAAATGCTGCAGCAGGCAGCAGAAATAAATATTCTACTGACCTGTGGAAAGGTTAAGATTCAGCAAATGGCAGAGGAAGCAAGTTGAAAAGATTGCAAAAGGAACTGCTTTTACTTGGAACTTACTGTTCTGCTTACCCACAAAAGCGAAACTAACATGCCACACACAGAACTGGTTCAGTTTAATATTTGTTTGGCAGCTGCAGTAACACCAGCAGTGGATTGTCATGAGAATGGCTGGTGAGATACAGCTACTGAACTACTATCCTTAGCATTAGCTTTTCTTGATTTGTTGTATGAGCTAGTGCTGCAAAAATACGCTGGCAAGGGTTGGGATAATCTTTTTATTTCCTATAAAATGCTAGTGGGCTAGAGAACAMTATTTAAAAATAGCTTTAAACATTTTAAATACATGGACATAATTGAAACWGTAGCACAGCTACATTAGTTTATTCCACTGTGTGCTTTTATATCTTTGTGACTTTTATTCCCCACACTGCTTCATTGAAAAGCAAGAAGCTACAAAGTGRTATCTAGTACTCAGAACTCCTCTTAAGCTAATTTGTTTTTTGTGCTGGAGATAGCATTTGCCGTAGCAAACCTTATACAATGATGCAGTAGACACCTTATATGATGAAATGCCGTGAGGGTTTTCACCAGGGTAAAGGTAATGAGAGAAAACCCCACAATATTGATAAGCAAACACATTAGKCTGGCTTCCTTAGTAGAAAATCCTAAAAGGATAAAGTCTTCCAAGTTCRTAAGAATAGAGCTCTACATCAAGATTTTATCTTGTACAATTCAGGATTCAGGACTTTCTAAGAATGTGCTCATTGCCCATTTAGTAGYGCAACATTCCACTTGCTCCACACATTTTAGTGCCAAGCAGCACTAAAACAAACTCCAGTTTTGAGTGTTAGTTTGCTTTCTTGCTCCACTTCAAAACTCAAGAGGATTCAGCCAAAAGACTGTTCTTTTCAAAGATGGCAAGCCTTCAAGGAGACCTCTGGGATGGAAAAGATGTGGACAATGCTTTGTTTCCCCAGAAGGAACTACTAGGGCAGGTTGAGTTAGAAGAACTCCAACCTGTCTCTTCACCTTTTCATTTTAGAAACCCTGGATGAAAATCCCTGCAGTGAGACAGACCATGACCAATGGAAAAAAAGAGAGGGAAGCTGTCTGGGTGAGTGGGCAGGGGTAGAGCCTGCAGAGGATTCTGTGTACATACAGAGAACAGAGAAGTGAAATGATGCAGCAGCTCAGAGCCCCACTGCAGCATTGTGGGGGCTGTTCTTCCAGCTTGTACAACAGAGCAAAGACCATAGGTCTAACAGGAGGAGTGAGAAGAGATCAGCAGAGAATGGGATATAGCACAGTGGAAAGCTTTCTCAAGTAAAACTTGCAGAGTTTAGTTTGAAGGTAGATGAAACAAACCAAACAAATTCCGTGATCTAAACAAAGAAAAAAMCCCGTAAACTTCACTAAAATTAAACAAAACCAAMCAAACAAAAAAAAMCACAACTCTCAAAGCAAAACCAGCTTTTTAAAAGGAGCAAAAATAAGCCAGGTAGATACAGGCTTGCAGAGCCCAAACAAGCTTATAGCCATCATAAACTGAGACAAATGTTTGGACAAACCTGAGGTTCTATGAATCTTGATATTTTGTAGTCCAGCTCCCTGTGGGATACAAATGAGTCACTTAATTCTTCAGTACCACTGGCACAAAAACAGTTCTCCAAATCACAGACTTTGGAACAGAGGATAAAAAAGCATAAAACCAAGAATTTTATTACAGGAATGTACCTTTTTATATTTATATGCTTATGACTTGGCAATAACAATTCAAATAGTTTAATAACTAATAGCATTGTTATTGTCTGAGAAGACATAAAGCAGAGGAAATTAGTGAGAGACTTCACTGCAATCTGAAAAGGTGTAAAAAGAGCAGTTCCAGACATGTTCTTGCATAGAAGCTCTTTCTTTGAAAGTGGTTGAGTGAAGAAAATGCCATGAACATAAATATGGTAAAGTTTTCACTCCATGTCAGACAAGTGAGGATTTTGGTAATGTCTTGCATTTTCCTTACAATGTCTCAATAACTGTTCAACCATTTCTGATAAAAATTGCTCTTTTCTCTGTAAGCTTGTGAGACTGAGGAAGGAAGAAAAGGGTTATAAAATTCAGCAATATCCTTCTCTTTGGCTATTAGTTACACTTMTTTTTCTTCTTACTGTAGATTTCAAGTTTTTTTAAAAATCTGCCAATAATGCTTATTTAACTCTGCAAACTGAAACAGATATTCATTCTTTATTTTTACTTTGAGACTAAAATTAAGAAAACCTTTTCAGGCAGCCTCCACATCTAGCTGGTGGTGATGTAGCTTTAGACGAGGCCCCCTCACTCTCTCGTTGAGAAAGAAACTGTTGAGAAGTTTGTGCCTTGTCTAATAGCCTGTTCTTCCAAGATGCTTTCATTTTTACCATGGAAAAGATCTTTCAAAACAGCTCTTCACTTTGAATTCATACTTCATTGCTTAAAAGTCTAGAACAACATCTTGACACTGTTTCAAGACAAAACTTGCTGCTGACATAAATGGTGAAGGATGAAGAAACAGTGTTTTTGTTAACAACTTGACAAAACATTTCCAAAAAAACAGAAGTACCATTTCCTAGTCTCTCTTATTTAGCTGTGATTCATTGTGGATGTGTTCTTTGACAACACATTTTGTTGTCAAAAAATCAAGGGAGAATAGAGGATTCTTAAACTTGCAGTGTAAATTATTAAGTAGATTATTACAATCAATGTTCAGAAACACTCTGCAGTAAAAATTCCTTCCCACAGTCACCATCTGAATGTTTAGATGTGTTTCTAAAGACAAATACTTTCACAAATCTCTTGTATTTGGGCCCTGAGCATAAGACTTGGACATGTTGGAGCAAATCCAGAGGAGGGCCACAATGATGATCCAAGGGTTGGGGCACCTCTCCTCCTTATGAGGACAGGCTGGGAGATTTGGGGYTGAACAGCCTGAAGAAGATTCTTGGAGACCTTATATCACTTTCAGCACCTAATGGAACTTTACTGCTTCACSCACTTTCTGAATGCTAACACACAAACCAATAAGGTTGGGGCTTTCTTCCCTTTATTTTTTCACTTTCATGGCGTTTAAGAAAGAAGCGTAAATTATCAAAATTCATGCATATTTCAATCTAGACATATCATGCAATTGTTTTGTGCATTATACTGAATCAAGACTATATTTCTAGACACACAAAGAGGATTGTCTGTCCTGATATGCTGATGGATCACCATTCAGAACCATTGCCTTAACTTATAGGCAAATAACATTCATCAAAAGTTAAAAAAAATCACATTTACACAAAAAGTTGCTAAAGCAGCTTTTTTCTTATCCTTGGAGACAGTTTAGGATTGAAAAAAGGTGTACATTATTTCAAGAAGCAAGGTGGCAGCAGGTTAGAAACATGGCGAGGAGTAAGACGTTTGTTCTTAAATGGTGTGACTTCTGAGGCACCCTGCAAACATGGGTGCCCTCCTGAGCCTGTTGCATTTTGGTTAATCGSATGTGTCATTGACATGTAGTGATGATCACTGGAATCAAACCCTTAATCCTACTAGCTCATCTGTAGTTAAGCACCGGATACCTCACATGGATCAGTCTCCACAAGGCCCTACAGATTTTCAGCATGGGCTCAGTGTTGAAGGAGTGTTGACTGACATTTGTTGYGTGGACAGCACAGTGGAGGCTGCCAGGGAAGAATGGCCAAGCTCATACTGAGAATAGTGAGTGACAGTGTGGCACATACAGCATGAGGACAAATATACGAAGACACAGCCTACCTCTGCGCAGAGCCGTGCAAAGCAGAAGCTACATCGTTTCCACAAGCACCCAGACCCTGCTCAGCTTCAAGTAAAGGGTTTATTTTGGCCTTTGTTTTCTTGAAGCTCTAGCCTTGATCAATACCACTTTAAATGAGGCTTTCTCTGTGAGTCTCTTTTCTGCTACATACACACAGTTTTTCTGTACACTCTAGTACAAAGGGAATACAGCTCCGGGCAGTCTTCTTAGTGCATATACATAATCTTACAGTTCTAGGAAAGAGATTAACACTAACACCTGACATCTATTGCTACAGATTTACTACAAATCACCCTAATAGATCTGTCTTGTAACAATGTCACAACTCAATTTATATCTAGTCCAAGTGCTATTTGGACATTGTGATGCTCTGACACAGTGCATGACTTACTTCTGTTACTCATACAGTGCTGTCCCCACGCAGTTCAGCCCACACACTCCCTTCCCTGCAGGACTTCGTGTCTTTTTAGCCTTCTCACTGACAACAGGTTATAGGTGTTTTTCAGAGCTTGTGTTGCTCATAGATCAGGCACAAGAAAGACTCTATATTCCCATCATGAATGCTCTTTTAAGGCACAGCTTACCAAGACCTAAACAATAACTGCAAGATGCTCCTTCCACATTTTTCTTTTATTTAGAGTTGCCCTGACACAGCTGTGTGTCTCACTTGGGATCCATCCCTTAGGAGCCAGGCTAAATAAAAGCATAGAAGTGGACACACGTCAAACACACAAAATAAACGTGTGGAGATGGCCATAAAATATATAAAATGAAAAAAAAAAAAAAAAAAAAAAAGAGAGAGAGAGACAGAGAGAGAAATAAACTCATAGGCAAAATTATGCTTCCTGAAAACTAGTTCTTTTCTTGTTTCTTTTTTCCCCTCTGGTATCTGTCTCAAGTGTATGATTGAAAAACAGGGAAGTGAACGTCAGAGCTTGCAAGCAGAAAATTATGCCTCAGTGGCTTGAAACAAAATCCATGTCACCCATGAGGAAGGGGAAGAAGAGAGAAAGTATATATGCTCTGGCAGTAACATAAACACCATTTTGAAAACACTACCCAAGACAGCCATGTGCTTACTGTTTTGGCCTAGCTGATGTACCTACTGCATGCTTCCCCAGGCAGTTATTGCGCTGGCTTCTAGCCATATGCCTTTGGTAAAGTGCACTGCCTTCGAATGAAACAATTTCACTTCCAGTATAGTGTTCTACTCCTGAACCTGTCCTAYAGCAAGTTAACATGGATTTTCTGACATAACCACTGGAGATGCAGTCAAACCACCATCATAGAAGAAATTACTATAAAATTGGCAGGAGATGCAAGGTAAAGCCATATTTTACAAACACTTTTAACATCACCACCGTGACTTCCACTCTGGAACCCCATCTGCCGTGCTCCATCCAGTTCTGAGGCACTGAGCATGAGACCTCGAGTGCTGGAGCAAGTGCAAAAGAGGGCCACAGTGATCCATGGGTTGGAGCACCTCTGCTTACAAGGACAGGCTGAGAGATTTGCGTTTGTACAGCTTGGAGAAGACTCTGGAGACCTTTTAGCACCTCTAGCACCTTTCAGTATCTAATGAAACGAAAAGGAAGGCTGGAAAGGAACTTTTTAAAGGGGCAGGTTGTGACAGGTCAAGGGGTGATGGCTTTCARTTGAAGGAGGGTATGTTTAGATTAGCTATTAGGAAGAAATTTCSTTTCTGTGAGGGTGGTGGGCTGCTCTTACAGGTTGCCCAGAGTAGTCATGGATGYCCAATCCCTGGAAGCATTCAAGGCCACTAAATGGTCTTTGAGCAACCTGCCTGGGGATGGTGGAACTAGATATCTTTAAGGTGTTTTCCARCTGAAACTGTTCTGATTCTATGATCAAAGTTGTTCATCCAAAGACATTAATTAAATTGCTGATGGATTGTTCAAAGAGTACAGCATTATTTATGTACAGCTAATCATTTTTATCTGAGTTTTACTCCACCAGGGATAAACTGAGATGAAAGATGTGTCTCCTAGTAACTATCATAATTACCATAAAGTCTGTGGCTACCACCAGCTATGAATTTTTTTCATAAAAAATTAATTTTCTCTGTCCAGCTCTAAAATCTTAACTGCTTATGTGATCAGACCAAAACAGATCTTAATTGCTGTTCTGCCAATAAACAAACAGCTTTTATCTGCAGGATTTCCTTGTAATAAGTATCTTCCCCAGAATATATGAAGGCCAGATAAACTTAAGAAAGCTCTTACCTAAAACCTCCTCTGGAATTTCTGTTTCTATTTCTCCAGAGGGTGACTGTTATAGAAAAACATATTAACTTCATATACCTTTMTTTTTCTGCAAAGCAACAAGCAAATTCAAAGCTGCAGCAAGCGTTGTGCTGTAGTTATGCAATGTGCAGCAGGGCTAAGGGTTACCCGTCCAACTTCAACAGTGAGATAAGTACAAGTAATTGTGTGACATAATTATTGCTGAAGAATCTGCTGCCTGGGCAATTTATTGCCTCCTCTAAGCTTGATGCAACTGGAACATCTGGAAAAACTCACACAGTTTCATAGGTAATCTTAAAAATAATAAAGCTTTTCATTTTTGAAGTGGTGACACTACCTCCAAAGTTTTATTTAGGCACTCTTTGGAAATCTGAGCTGTGGCAGAAACTCAAATCTTAAATTAATATGTATGTTATATTTTTATTCTAGTGGCTATTAATCTTAGCTTGTACATTTCACCTTTTGGTAGAGTGACTCCTCATATTTYGAGTAATTTTTTAACTAAAGTTTCTAGTTTTTTCATTACACAGTGACATAAGGGAGCACGGTAAATTCTTTCTTTACTCCATACCTTTTTCTAACTTGAAATGTAAAAAAATATAGTCAAGTTATTTTACTTCATATCTTATTATTTTACTTAGGATTTCCTTAGCTGCAAGTTAAATTTTGGAAAGCTAGTATATTATAGGAATGGCTTTGTCCTTTCCCTTCCTCTGTCTCTGGCAACTCCCAAAGCTGTTTCTTTGATGTATTAATTCAAGATAGCCATTTATCTTACAAATGGCACAGGAAAGACTTTCAGGCTTATTCTTCCCCCCCAACTGTTGTTTGTTTTGCTTTAGAGGGAAATAAAACCTTATTTAGGAATAAAATACTTTATTTTTCCAAAACATGTGTGACAGATTGCAACAAGAACAAAGTACAGTAAAAAAATTACTCGCATGGCCTGCAAGTTAACAAAACACTAAGCAAATACTGAACCTTTGTCAAAGTCCTTTTTGGGTCCGGTATACATTCTTCATACTACAGAGGTAATGCYCACTTTACAGTGGCATCAGATAAAGTTCATAAAACCATTATAACAGAGGCATTAGTATTTGCTCTCTCTATATACCGGTTTTTGACACAGTTTTATTTTACTCCAGGCACACTAAGTAGTCTGAAGTCAAATACATATTTCTTCCCCTGTGTCAGGAGTTCAGCATTAACTTCAGCAGGTTTGCCTGGAATCTACCAAAAGCCTCTCATGGGTAAATATTTATAACCTGGCAGAAACTTTGTTTTGTATCTGTGAATCTGTGCAGCACTTTAAAAACGGAGCAGATGCACAAAATATGATGATGTAACTGAATGTATTTTTCTCCCTCAAAGTCTACAGCTATTTTTGCTACTTCTCACAACTAATTGTGAACCAAGTATAACATGCCGAACAAATCTAAAAACAATGCGTGTGACAAGTCAAAAGCTGTCATGGAGGTTTSTCCTTCCATACTCATCTTTGCTAAAGAGACAAAAATAAGTCAGTATAGGCTGTGACCTCTTCTGCAGTATTGTAACATTACAAAAAATAAAATATATTTTATTCTTCCTGTGAAATTGCAACCCTGAGATGAGCTCAGCTGGTTAAAGCATAGTGCTCATAACGCCAAGGTCACAGGTTTGATCCCGGCAGAGGCCATTCACTTAAGAGCTGGACTCAATGATCCTTCTGGGTCCCTTCCAACTCAGCCTATTTGGCRATTCTGTGAATTTAGCAAATGTAAACAGAAATGGAGCATCTGACAAATTCTACACATACACACAATGTGTAAACAAAGAACTACTGCCACACCTTTACTTTTATTTTATGCCAATATTATCTCTGCAGTTACCTTAAGAATCTAATATTTCTGTTGTGATCGTTGTTTTGCAATGCAAAGCTTGTTTTCATCAACTTTGTTTTCCCTCTCTATCTAAACCTTTCAGAAACAACTACGACTGAAATCAGTAAATACATAAAACCAGAGCACTCACCTCATTAAGGCTTGAGAGCACAGTGACATGAGGCACTTGTATCCCATTCAGTGGAATACAGTGCAAAAAGTCCCAAGTCAGCTAAGACTCCAAAGAGCCACTCCAAGCAGCACAGAATACTGGCATTGCATTTATAAATAGCACAGATCTAAACAATCTAAAGTCAGCTTTATTGTTTACATGCAGTGGGCTTGGGTACCCCCGCACTGGAATCATCACAGGTCTACCTCTGCTASAATAAGTACAGGGACACACAGGTTTTATTAGATCTTTGCAGCATTTTCTCTTTCATTAAGTCTATAGATGATTTTATCTTATAGTTTTACTAAGGTTGCAAAATCCAATGCCAACACATGTCATTAAGACTTTCTCCCCACCCATGTGCTCTTCCTCAGGGGTCTTTGTTTCAATTTTAAACATGATCTGGAAGAAGCTTCTCAGGTGTCGCAGAAACTCAATTCTGAGGGAGAAAAAATAACACAGTTTAAGAAACRAAACAGAAAACCCATTAGCAGTATGTACTAACACAGATTCCAGCAATGAGCATGGTCGATGAGATACAAAAATATTGCTTAGTACAGACAAACAAGGCTTCAGGCTCCTAACGCTGCTCTTGCCTGTGTTGTAGAAGTGGCTAGTGACCCCTACTGAATCCTCTGCACTCTCTGTATAAGCAGAGAGAGGTAATGGCTGGTAACACAGTGAGAGAAAATGGTGAGGGAAGAAGAAAGAGAGAAATGTAGCAAGGCAAGATCATTTACTCCTGATGCYGACTCCTTATCAGAGAGGGTTCTATATATACCCAATACCAATCTGTGATTCTCTTTTCCCTGCCCAATGTTTAAAGCAGAAATAAAACATAAACAAGGATAGCCAAAAGGTTTAACAAAGATCCTAMAGCATGTGTTTGATTCATATTACTAACTTTGCCACTTCTTAGAATTACATTCAGACTCAAAATTCTTCCTGTGTTTCAGGAAAAAATATTTCCTTTCATCATTTCTGAAAGAAAGGCATGAAGAAACTAAACATTCACAGTGATCCTAAACAAACACTGACTGGATGGTGACATGAAAAACTATAAAAAAGAACAAAACCAAAAACAGCCAAGAAAACATTTTTACTGGCTTCTCCAAAAGAGGGAACAAACAATTACATCAAAAGACTACAACAGAAAATTTGTAATTGCTCCTGACAAAAGTCTGGACTCTTCTAGTCATGGCAACAAGCAGGTCTGCAGTCTTGAACTAAGATTTAATCTCCTCCAGAAATTGGTATGCATATTTTCGACTTCAGAGAAAGGGAATGTGGATATCCAGTTCATGCATTTGCTTGTCTGGCAAATACTGAAAAAGGCATCTATTCTACATGTTGAAAGCATAATCACAAGCTAATCACACRTATATCATTACAAAAAATCGAGAGAAAGCACCCACAAAATGGGAAGCAGGAGACCAAAAGGGTAGAACTGTCCCCACTGTGGCATCATGAGGCCTCTGAAAGCCTCCTGGCAACTCCTGTTCACAAAAATTGTTAAAAAATACAACGAAAATTGCAGGAGCAAAATTGCTTTATACACTTCAGCTGGRCATGCTGCTGATGCGGCTGCTCCTGCTGCTCCTGCACAGGAGAGGAGGGAAAAAGCAGGGGCCAGACAAAGAAAGGCTGCTTTACCTATAGTGGTGTGTGCTTGGGATGATCTGATTTATCTCTGGGGCAATCTGCTGAATACCTCTGCAGGGTGAATGTGGGAACACCGCTCCCAATGCTATGTGTACCTTCTACTGCACCTTCCTGGACTGATAACTTGCCTCAGCACAGACACCAGCTCTCTCACTTCTCAAGTGGATTAACGGTTGAAAGGAAAAACTGAAAAGCACTTTCCTTCCATGCTTTCCCAACCGCAAGGTTTCTGGTTGCAGCTATAATAGGCAAATGGGAATATGCTGGCACAAACGCTATGGTAAGGCTGACAGACAACAAGCTCTRTATCAGCCTTCTCCTTAGCCGGGTCCTCTCACAGGGCTGTGGCAGTGTGACAAGAATACCAAAGCCAAGCCCAAAACAGCAGGAGTGGCACGCTGAACTACAAGAAGAGCACAGAATAAACTGTACAAGTGCCAGAGGCAGTGTRGAGCCAGAAACACTAGAGAAAAATACTAAAACGTGATCACCAAACTCTGCAACATGTTGGTAGATCAGTTCAGTCCATCCTCTCTCTGCACATAGCTGGGCTACCCTACATATCTGCCTCTTCTCTCTTTGGAATAAAGGCATAGTGAGAAAAGTATCACTCCATGTAYATGGGAAAGGCTCACTTGAGTGWGAGCGAACGGGAGGCTGCCATAGACAATGTTGAAGCAGGAAAAGGCCAACTTTGTKTTGTAGCAGTAGAAGCACAAGTGGTAAGAGCCCTGAAAATAGGAGAGAAAGAGGTGGGAAGGTAGTGGTACATGACAGAAAGCAGGTTAATGTTAGTTCCAAGGCTRATCTGGGTTTTACATGGACAACTCAAATAATAGTGCAGCCTGCAGCAATGACACAGGGACAAGCTGGAGGAGTRAGAGAGGGGGTGAAAGGTACAAAGAAGCTTTATTTTGCTGAGAATTTACACTGTGTGTTCAGGCAAGAACAAGGCAGAGCTGAACACTGCTCTTTAGCTGCAGAAACAGCTACATGAGCCACACTAGAAGTCTTACTTACAGCCAACAACAACAACAAGAGTAAAAAGTCTGTTTATCTAAGTGCTGTCTCTTCCCCAAACCCTGYTAAGGATTACCAAAAAATACACAAGAACTTTATGTGTAAGGGCAAAGCAACCAACTCACAGACCAGCGTGAGAGAAGACTGCACCAGCAGTGCATTTGTGGTTCAGTTGCCCTGGGGCCTGCAATTGCCAGGGCTTTGCTGGGCAGCACTGGCAGCCCCAGCACTCCTCCCGAGTCCTGCTCCAGCACTGCTCCTCTCAGTCCTGCCCAGGAGGAACCAGACTGAGGAGCTAGGGGTGGACACCCCCGGCACAGGGAACAACTCAAAGTGTCAGCTGGGCTGGGCAGAGGCACCCTGACCCCACCCCTTGAAGCCCCTATACCTYTCCAAAGCCAAGGGTTGGAGAACTCAGGCCTTCCTGTTGCTTCCTTCACACACCCCTGGCTCATGCTGATCCACCTGCTGATCCATGCTGATCCACCATGCAGACAGGTCTGTCCTGCCAGACTGACCTCTGTGAGTTAATGGCACAAACAGCACCATGCATTTGATTTTAAGCTCAGCTTGACAGAGAGGCACCCACTTCTGTGAAGTATGAATGCTAAGACAGGGGTAATGCTGCAGACAGCCACTACTCGTGCAGACTGCTGTCCCCACTGCCACTCTGGCAGTGCTGCTCGTGGTGTTGCCTTCCACTGGCCATCATTAGCTGAGGCAAAGGATCTGTCCCATGAAAATGCATAATCTCAAAGAAATCTCAAAGAAAACTTCTTTCCATCATTCTGATGGACATATTCCAAAGCACCATGTCCCCATGTTATACTCCCAGCAGCCAGCTCAACTGTCACGTTCATGYTACATTATGTTGGACAGGGAGCCAATCTAGCATAATGTAGCTTTTARATAGCTTCAGATTCTGGAGAATGCAGAGAGGACACAGCTCTGAGAAAGAAAAGGAGGGACAATGATGTTAAGCATGACAATGCTGCAATTTACTTCACAAAGCTTGTGTATCCAATGAGTTGCTTGGGAGCCAAATTYACCAGTCCTTTATGAAAAGCCCTAGTTGAGGGCACGGGGGTGCTGCAGAAAAAGCTGCATAGTATCTGAACAGATGTTCACAGGAATGAGGAGTCACAGATTCTCTCAGAATCACAGATTTTATGATCTCCTGGTCCAGAATCTGTGTTCCTGACCTTTAACCCTGCTGCATACACCTAGCTTAGAAGACGTGACAGCCCACCAACTTGAACTCAGCCTGCTTATAAAGTCAACTAGTGCATTTGCTTTGATTTTCACAGAACAAAAAAATGGTAAAAAATACTCACAATGACAAGAGATTGGATTGTTTTTTATGCTTAACTGTGTATTTCAAACACTAATATCTACTCTTCAGAAACCTTCCACATGAATACTTACTTTACAGGGAATTACTTCCCCTCTGGGCAATAGGACACTTCTCTGTTTTCCCCTCAAAATCTGATGAATGTTGTTTCCAAGGTATCAGGGGTTGAGAATAGCAGTTAGGTAATTTTTAGCTCTCATGTGATGGCACCACCATTCTTCAGTTATCACAGTACTGTACCTTTCACATATACAGCACCGGTACCATGATAACCGAAAAAGGACAGTTCATACTCTTACTATTTGATGCTATTGTCAGCTAAACAAACGTCCCTTCATTTGACTAAAGAAAAACTGCCTAGCCTCTAGAAGTAACCGTGATCCAGTAAATCACTTGCAAGTCTGATAAATTAAATTTTTGATAATGGATATCGTTTCCCTAATCTGTTTCTGCTAGAACTCAATCTGGCCATGGCTGTGAGAGATAATAAAATGTGCTTTTATAACTACATTAAAAGCAAAAGGAGGGCCAAGGAAAATCTCCAAGCCTTATTGGACACAGAGAGGAACACTGTCATCAAGGATGAGAAAAATGCTGAAGTACTTAATGTCTTCTTTGCCTTTGTCTTTAACAGTAAGACTTATCCTCAGGGTAACCAGCCCCCTGAGCTGGAGGACAGGCAGCAAAATAGACCCCCTGTAATCCAGAAGGATCTAGTTTAGTGACTGGCAGTACAACTTAGAAACTCACGTTACAGGGTCAGATGGGGTTCGTTCATCCATGGCTATTGAGAGAGCTGACAGAAGAGCTCACCAAGCTKCTCTCCATCATGTACTATCAGTCCTGGCTAACTGAGCACGTCCCAGAGGACTGGAGGTTGGCCAGTGTGATGCCCACACCAGAAGGGTCAGAAGAAGGACCTGGGGAACTACAGCAGCAGCCCAYGGCTCGGACAGGTACGCTGTTCTATGGATAAAAATCCATTTGTATGGCTGGGCTCAGAGAGTGGTGGTGGATGTAGTTACATCCATCCTGTGGCTGGTGTTCCCCAGGGCTCAGTACTGGGGCCAGTTAAAATCCTTACGGATTATCTGGATTAGGGGATTGAGTGCTCACTCAGTCAGTTTGCAGATAACTCCAAGCTGGGTGTGAGTGCTGATGTGCTGGAGGGCAGGAAGGCTCTGCAGAGGGATCTGGCCAGGCTGGATCATGGGCCAAGGCCAAGGGTGTGAGGTTCAACAAGGGCCAGGGCCGGGTCCTGCCCTGGGGTCACAACAACCCCAGGCAGTGCCACAGGCTGGGGCAGAGTGGCTGGAAAGCTGCCCACAGGAAAAGGACCTGGGGGTGCTGGTGACAGCGGCTGAACATGAGCCAGGGTGTGCCCAGGTGGCCAAGAAGGCCARTGGCATCCTGGCCTGKAKCAGCAAYRGTGTGGCCAGCAGGGCCAGGGCAGGGATTGTCCCCTGTACTGGGCATTGATGAGGCCACACCTTGAATCCTGTGTTTAGTTCTGGGATCCTCAGAACAAGGACGTGGAAATGCTGCAGTGAGATAAAAGAAGGGCAAAACAGCGGGTGACGGTCTGGATCACAAGTCCTATGAGGAGTGACTAGGGGAGCTGGGGTTGTTTAGCCTGGAGGAAAGGAGGCTGGGGGGAAACCTTACTGCTCTCTACGACTCCCTGAAAGGAGCTTGTGGCCAGATGGTGATCAGTCTCTTCTGACCAYCATCAGAGTGACAGGATTAGAAGAAGTGGCCTCAAGCTGCACCAGAGAAAGTTCAGGTTGGACATTAAGAAGAGTTTTTTCATTGCAAGGGCTGTTAAGCATTGAAATGGGCTGCCCACAGAGGTGGCAGCATCAGAACCTATGAAAGAGTTAAAGACACAATCACACCTAGCACTACAGTCTAGTTGAGAAATAGCGTTCAGTCAGGTGTTGGACTTCATGATCTTRGACATCTTTTCCAAACTTGATGATTCTGTGATTCTGTAASYTATATTTACAACTGGCAAAATAAGAAATTGAGTCTTTTTCTATCCTCTGAACAACTACCAGCTGCAGACAAAGCTGTAATAAAAACTGAGACTGAAGGACCAGATAGGATTCTGTTTCCCAATAGTGACAAAACCTTGAATGGCACACAGCTCCATGAATTGAAGTCTTAAGCTGATTCCTAGGACAAATCACAGCTTTAGAGTTCAGCTAGCCATTTGAAACATGACATTTAATGACACAGCTACAGAGAGATCACAAGGGAAAACACAGTAGTGTACACTAGGCAACAAAAAGCAAACGGATGTACACATACATTCCAGGTCAAGAACCATCAATAAACCCTGTCTCTGCAATTCTCAGAAACAGGAATAATATAGAACAGCAAGGGACTCATCTAACATGTAGAAACGCACTCTAGGCAACTTACACCACCTGCCTCATTTGAAGTCAGGTACAAGTTGTTCTATTTGTAACCATAAGCAGTCTTCCATATATAAAAGTAGCTGCGCAATAGCTGTGCAATAAAACTAGTGAATTAAAAGTAGACTGCTTAATTGAACTGAACATAACAACTTACGTGTATGGAGACAGAGGTCCCAACAGGACTTTGGAAACATCCCGCTGTCCAAGGGTCATAAGGAGCAGAGCAAGGCTCTGATTGGTTGAATCTACACAGCCTCCCTGCAAACCAAAATGTTTTAATAATTAATCTCTGTACAAACGAGAAGCTGCGATGAGAGCAGAGCAACAAAGGCAAAAGACATGCTTAAAAGGCTGAAATACCACTCCCAGTTTCTAAGAGCCAAGAAGATAAAAATCTAGATGTTTTAACAATGACAAATTAATTTCACATAGCAGGCTGGGGAAGGAACAGAACTAGAACAAAATGCAGTAAGAAAGTCACATTAAACATCCCTCCTAATCTGATTTAACATCACAGTATGTAAACACTGAAGAATTTCTTTGCAGTAAATTGAAAAGAGGTATTAGTTGTAGCTCATATGCATTTGACGACACTAAGAAYTGCAGCACTTCATGATAACGATAAAGTTACATTTCGACAAATAGTTCAGTATTAGCAGGTGCAAAACAGCACCTAAACCCTTGCTGCTAATTTTTGTGGGTTTACATCTGTAAAAATATTTCCTTCCATAATTAAAATGGAAGATTTTTTTTTACTGCTAAGTGAATGTGTCATGCATAAAATTAAGTAGAAGTACACATACTCTTGCACATATTYGACTGCACTAAGTCATTAGTGCATGGTAAATTGTTCTTTATATGGAGCRTGTTTAGTATGAAGCATACATAAATTACAACTGAAAGACTAAACTTAGAAATAAGAATTGCTTACAAAGCTGGAATATAAATTTAAAAGGATACTTTAAATTAAGACTGCTGTTGAGAAAATTTACCAACTACTGCTATGCAAGAACTCTGAAAATAGAAAAAAATCTGACATTATTTTGGACTGTCCTTATATTCACCCTGATCCACAGCCACATGAAATCTCTGGGCAGTTTTCTGCTGCATTTGGCCTAATGTTAAGTCCTCTGAAAAGGCTGTCTGGAGAGACCAAAACTAGAAATGCATCCTTTTAAAACCAAATTCTCTAATGAGGTAAACTGGCAGTTACCTTTGTGGACAAGGAGGGTAACCTATCATAATTTCAAGTGACAACACTCTCCAAAAAGGCAAGGGATAAAATAAATTTTGGACTATACAGATCAGGAAAATCAGACAATGGGACAACCTCAGCACATTTTCCCAGTGAGTGTCAGAAAAGAGAACCTTTCCAAGGGAGAGCTAGTGATGATTTAATTTTAAGATTGCCTAGCTTCCGTGTGGCAAGCCTCAGCTCCATTCTTCTGAAAAAATGTCTAGTCTCTGCACTTCATACACCGAAACAACATTAATAGCTTCATTACATTCATTACCATGAACCCAACTCCTAAAACATGCTCTTACACCAGTACTTGCCCTTKTAACTGTGTGAAGCTGCCACACTGAAGTGAAGTCCACATACTCAACCCTAATGTCTTCTATGGGACTGAAACATTGTGCTTTATCTTGAGTGAACAAGATACCTGCAGAATTTGCTGGTGCAATCTAGAGCCACAGCTCTCACCATCTGAATTTGCCAATGAGAAGCAGATAAAAGCTCAGTAAGGAGTACTCCTGACACTGGACATTCTGAATTTATAGTTTGTTTAATAATTCAAAATGCTCCTTATCACTTGGATGAAAACTTCACATTTTCTGAGCTTTTTTGTTTCTCTACAGMTGAAAATATTATACAGTATCTACTTTTATAACCATATTTATACAAAAGCTTCAATCAGCCTGGAGACAACCATGTCCTAAGCAATGTATCAAAACATGATGCWTCGTCATGTCCTAACTGCTTACATAAACTCTCTTGCTGCAGTGAGTCAAGTCATCCCCAGTACTGTTCCCCATTTGTGGTGGTGCATTCCCCCCTGTCTGCTAGGGCCATTCTACAATCTTCTCAGGAATTCTTATTAGACCTTGACCTTGATTAATGGCTCCTGGGCAGTTAAACTTCTCTTGAGCTTATCAGAAACRCTGTCTGTTCCTAGGAACTTCTGCCTAATGAACTGCTGTTTTCTAAGGACAGCTCTGGAATACTATTTTTGTCTAAATCATAGCTCAGGTGGAACAATATTATTGTTACTGTACCTTTTGAGGAAAACTCTGGTAACAACTGACCCAGATTGCAGCCAGAATGGACAACAAGAGAGGGCTAAAGCCAAGCATCTCACAACCCTACAGGCAGCAGTACTAAGCGAGGGTCTTTGAGTTCTGCTGGGCCACAGCAGGCTGCACCAGCACCTCCCTCACCTCTTGAAGCTCAACAACCCTTAAGCCTTAAATACTTGGAGAACAAGTGACAAAAGGTGGTGTTGATGGGGCCTGGGCTGATACASTCAACCCTCAAGACTTAACCCCTCACCCCGTGACAGGTAAAAAGTCATCTCACTCAAGTATTTTACTAAATTTGAGGGGAATTTTTAACCTTTTTATACACTTTGYGTCTATGTGTGTGCATGTATAAATCGATTTAAATACACTGCAGCAAGTGTAGTATGAATATTGCCATCTCTTAATTTACTATGAAGTTACTCGTGTGCTTATAGCAAATCTTACTGAATCATTTTGTAAATGTTAGTCACAGAATGGTTACGACTGGAAGGGATCCAGAGATCAGTTGGTCCAATCACCGTGCTCAAGCATGATCACCCCAGAGTACATGGCACAGGATGCAGACAGTTCTTGAATATCTCCAGAGAGGGAAACTCCACAGCCTCTCTGGGCAACCTGTGCAACCTGTATSCTTCACAGTAAAGGATAGTAAAAATATCTTCCTCATATTCAGGTGGAACTTCCTGTGCATCAGTTTCTGTCCATTGCCTCTTGCCCTATCGCTCAGCACCAYAAAGAAGAGCCTGGATCCACTGCCTGGCACCTTCCCTTCAGATATATTGATAWGATCCCCTCAGTCATCTCAGTGACCAACAGGCCCAGCTCTCCTGGCYTTTCATCATGAGAGATGTTCCAGTCCTTCAATCATCTTTGTCACCCTCCTCTGAAYCTGCTTCAGGAGCTCCCTGTCTCCCCTGTCCTGAGGAGCCCAGAACTGGACACAGCACTCCAGATGTGCCTCACCAGGGCTGAGCAGAGGGGCAGGATCACCTCCCTCCACTGCTGTCAGTGCTTTTCCTAATGCCCCCCRGGACACCATTCCTGGTATCTTGGATCTTGGCCCCCAGGACACGCTGCTGGCTCAGGGACAGCTCGTTGTCCCCCAGCACCCACAGAGCTGCTCCCCAGCAGGTCAGCCCCAGCCTCYGCTGGTGCCTGGGRTTGTTMCTCCCCGGGGCAGGACCCTGCATTTGCCTTTGMTGAATCTCAGACTGCTCTTCYCTGCCCACATCTCCACCCTGYCGAGGTCCTTCTGAAGGGCTGCACGGCTCTCTGGGGTCTCAGCCTCCCCTTCCAGCTTTGTGTCCTCAGTGAACGCGCTGAGGAGGCCTCTGCCCCTTCATCCAAATCACTGATGGAGAAATCAAACAAAACTGGACAAATATTGACCCTTTGGGGACACCACTAATGACAGGTCTCCAACCAGACCCTGCACCACTGATCCCAACCCTCTGGGATCTCCCAGATCCCAGATTCGGTCAGTTCTCACTCCACCTCACTGTCCACTCATCCAGTGCACACTTCCTGTGTTTGCCTCTGGGGATGTCGTGAGAGACAGGGCCAAAAGCCTGGCTGAAGTCAAGGTAGACAATATCCACTTCTCTCCCCTCATCCATCCAKATACTTGTTTCTTTAAAGAAGGGAAGCAGGTCAGTCAAGTATGATTTTCCTTTAATGAATCCACACTGACTACTCCCGTTCACTTTCTTGTCCTCCATGTGGATAGAAATGGCTTTCCAGAATAAGGCACTCAGTCACCTTTCCAGGGATTGATGTAAGGCTGACTGGCTGGTAGTTTCTTGGGTTGGTCTTCTTGTCCTTTTGGCAGACTGGAATGACATTTGCCTTCTTCCAGTCCTCAGGCACCTCTCYTGATCACCACAACATTTCAAAGATGGTTGTAAATTGCCCAGCTTCAGTGTCCATCAGCTCTCTCAGCACTTGTGGGTGCACCCCATCACAGCCCATGGACTTGTGGATGCCAGGTTTGCCTGACTCCAACCCTTCCTTTTCCCTGATCTCCTGGGTCAGAGATCCCTGAGGGCTGTTCTTGTCAGTGGTGACCGATGCAAAGGCAGCATTCACTAACTCTGCCTCCTCTGTGTCCTCTGTTAACAGTCTCACTCCCATTTAGTATTAGGCCCACATAATGCTTTTTCCTTTAGTTATTGATGTATTTGAAAAAGCCCTTCTTGTAGATGACCTTCTTTACCACATTTAATTCTAGATGGACCTTGGCTTTTCTTGTCTCATTTCTACATACTCTGACAACCTCTCAATAATCATACCGAGTGACCTGACCCTGCCTCTAGCTCCTGTGTATTCCCTGCTTACTTTTGATATTTATTTATTCATGCAAATCTCTTTTCCCCCTTTGCCCAATTTCTTGCTTATTTGGATGCACTGTTCTTGAGCCTGAAAGAAGTGATTCTTGAATATCAACCAACTCCCTTGGACCCCTCAGGGTCTCTTGAACCCTGCAGGGCTTGTTCCTATGGAATTCTTTCAAGAAGATTCCTGCAGAAGCTAAAGTTAGCTCTCCTGAAGTCCATGGTTGTAAACGTACTTGCTGCCCTGCTTCCTCCTGAGCCTGAACTCCACACTCYCATGGTCGCACCTCCAGCAAGGCCTTCCCTGTTTGCTGGTTGAGCTGAGCAGCACGCCATTCCCTGTGGGATCCKCCAGTACCCGTGTCAGGAAATGGCCATCAGTGCTTTCCAGGAACCTCCTGCGCCGTTTGTGTTTCGCTGCAGCAGATGTCATGGTACTTAAAGCTCCCCAAAAGAGCCAGGGCCTGTGACTTTGAGGCTGCTTCATGCTGCCTCTAGAAGACCTCATTTGCTGCCTCCTCCTCATCAGGCAGCACACCCCCACAACAGTGTCACCCTCACTAGTCTGACTTTTTATCCTGACCYATAAGCTCTCAACTCACTCATCATCCACCCAGAGACCGAGCTTGATACATTCCAGGTGTTTCCTCACACAGGACAAGTCCACCAGCCTGCCTTCCTGGGCTGTCTCTGCTGAACAGGGTGTGGCCCTTCATAACAGGACCAACTATCCCACCACATCTCTGTAATCGCAGTAAGATCAAAACACTGTGACTGCACGCAGATCTCTAGCTCATCTTGTTTGTTCTCCATACTGCATGCACTGGGGTACGTGCACTTTATAGAAGTTTTTGATTGTGTCAACATTCCAGTAGTCAATGATTAAGTGGTGCTACATCCTTTAGATATAAATCTTTGATTAAGTCTGAGTCTATGTTTGGTAAAGGGTCCACTCTTGCRACCCAAAGGGAGTGTCTCCCTTGCCCCTTTTGCAACCTTAGTCTTTTCCATCCTTASCCTTTTGCATTCTCATTCTGCATAAATCATTGCAGATTTTTTCTAATCCGATTTTTCTTTGTGTACTTCATCTATGTAGTAAGCAAAAGTGAACCTCACCATCAAACTTGTTGCACTTCAACAAATTCATACCAAAACTTGGTCTTGCTGATACTTTTGCCAGTGATTTAAGTGATCTAAATCACTCCTTTGCAACACCATTCCCATATAGGCAGTTGCCAAAGAATGACATTAAGTGATTGTAATCTCATGACTGAACAGCAACTTCTGCCAAATGAAGGACTGAACACTCCCAAGGAGGCCAAGTTTTTTTCTTTCAATCCACCTGACACTTAATCCAGAGTCAGAAAATTAAAAACAACCCTCCCAAAAGAAATGGGATGGGCAAAGTCAGAGCCAAAGCATGTTTGTTCCAAAATAGCTGGCACTCATTACCAATGTAGAATGCAGCTTGTAGACCGTATTAATTCAGTCTATGGCAGTGTCCCCATTATTGTTCACATTGACTACAGAGCTAGATCCAGCTAGCTGTGACAATTAGACACAGATCACTTAAAATCYCGTCCATTTAAAATGTTATTATACAAATACTACAGCTAACATGTAAAGACAAATACCGCAGCTCCAGATGCTGGACAACAGTGTTTCAAAAAGGTTTATTCTTGAGCTTGAGCCTGGCTTTGATTTAGCATTAGTTATATTTTGGCATACACACAGTTTCCTTCCTTACCTGTGTGGCACATATTTGTATGACTTAATAATTTGTTATGTGGAGGGTAACAAGCTATTGCACAGGGTTTGTGTTTTGGTTTGGGGGTTTCGGTTTTTCTCCAGAAGAATGGAGCAAAGACTTGGCACAGTGAAGTAAGACCATCTCGAAAATTCAGCCGTGAATGAAATCCTTCACTAGTTTTAACTCTAGTTAAATAAAACAGCCTTAGCCCTCCTGCCTCTCCAACGTCCCCTAGCAACTCGGCCTTTCTTCATTAAGAATTCAGCCTTAAACAGGCATACATACTCCCCGCTTTTTCATTATCACAAATAATATAAAAATTAAATCCTTTTCCAGCTCTTCCAGGCCTTTCCATTCTGCCAATTACTTGCTACATAAAGCTCCCATAAACAATGACTTTCAAAGATGAGAGTTAAAATCCTTAGTGGCCTCCTACAATTAAGCTTCAGAAAGAACTGCATACGGATTTGTAATGACAATGCTAGTCAGTCATTCCATTGCCCTGTCTTGCAGAGCCACTGCAATTAAGGCACTGTGCCACTTACTATTAGCCAATTACCTCTGACATCTTTCCATCAACAAATGTGCATTAAAAAAGCTCTGCTGATTCCAAGAATCATACAATCTATTTAATTTCTTATTCAAGGCTCAGTAAAAGGACATTTAACAAGACTCAGATCCTTAGATTTCCTAGGTGGTAAACCTCACACAATAGCAAGCACTTTACAAAGTGTCCCTGGGCCCCTTTCAACAGTAATGAACTCCAGCAGATTGTCGGTAACCCCAACATCTAAAGCCCTTTTACAGAGAATTATCTGCAGTGCTCTCAGGGTACCCTTTTCTGGTCAACCTCCCTGGCTCCTGCAGTGTAGTACCTACAGGCAAACAAAGAGATGGTGAAACAATCTTTGAGGAGAAGACCTAAACACAGGAAAACAAATTCTCCCTTGAGTCTGTATTCAGCAACTAGGTTRAATAGCGGCAAAAAGATATAGGATTAAAGACTGCCTGTTCAAAGCAAATGTATTCTTGCTTTCCCAAAATTTTTATTTCACTCAGCAGCTTAGCTAGACAAAAAACAATAAAAAATTAATMTATTAAAACTGAACAAACACTGCACTTTGCAATATGTTTTTCTACCCTCTCTGGGTTCAACACTAAATCAAACTGACCTAATTAAAGAAAAACAAACACACAAAACTAAACCTCCAAAAACCAACACTCATGAAAGCCGACCCCAAAACAAAACACAAACTAATTGCAAAAAAAAAATAGAAAGAAAACGAGAAAGAAAGCTTATTTTTCAAATTTCAAGCTAGCATTGTAAAACCACGTGTCATACATGAAATTCAAGTGGATATTCTGAAAACTACACAACAAAACCCATCATATTGCCTATGACAGAGGCAGAAGGGAACTCACTAAGTAATGACTAAGCACTCGGGTGGGCAAGTGGCACAACTTGCCAAAAATGCTAGCAAACCAGAACTTGTCCACAGTGAGCTGCTGTAGTGAAGGACAAGTAGTCTGTACACTGCTCAGCATTTGTCAGTCTCTCTTGGACAGAAGTTGCCCACACATAAAGGAGTCTTCCAGGAGCACCMGCTTTACCACAGCTAGTAAACTCACACACTCACAGTCTGATCTTCAAAGACACTGAAACCTGACAGCCTATTTATTTATCATTCACAGACTTTATTTATCATTCACTGCTTCATCCTCAAACATTTTCTCCTGTTGTCTTGAGATCCTCACTACCCTWTGTAGAATCTGACTCATCATATTCAAATGGCCGCAGTACATCAAAGCAGAAAGTTACCAGCTTTTAGGCCTTTCCAGCCCTCTTCAATCAGTAAATTCTCTGACACCTGAGCTAAGCATAATATCTCGACAAATTCCCTCACTAGTTTTAATCTGTCAAGTGCTGAATGGTTTTCCAAGGGAAAAAAAAGCACTTATTGCTGTTTATAAAAGTATTTGAAAAYTGCATTTTTGATGTCTATGGACATCTGACTACTTGAAGATGTTTTCCAAGACATTTACACAAAGCAACAAATGTACCAAAAGGTTTCTACAATTCACACCGAAATAAAAATAACTACATGACACTACGCAATTGCAGAAACGGATGTTTCAGTCACTAGTTATGACTACATTCTCCACACATGCTGGACTTTCAAATACAAGGTGTCTAGATTATACCTAGAAACCCAGGAAGAATATTTTGATGGTGGCATTTCTATGAGATAAGAAACCTGGGCTAGAGAAGTCTTTTAGCAACATCGTGCATATAGTGAATAAACAAAGACGAAATAATAATGGAAGAGTGGAAAAAGTGGCCAGGTGATAAACAGATGAAGGATCTGCAACAGGTAAAGGAACAAATAATATGGGCACAGATGAACAATCTACTACAGGTATGGATGTGATTTGAGGCTGAGGGACATTTCTGTAATTGACTACATTTCCCAATACAGAATCTCAGTAATGGCAGTTTTAACACTTTACAAAGCCAAATCAGGTTATTACAGTTCAGAGTAACTACTCTTTTTTATAAACAGTGATTACAATTGGTAGATGACTGCCTCCTAAAGGCCAAATGTGGTCTATCAATACTAAAACATAGTTATTTTAACATTTGTGGAGATACAAAACAAAGCAGCTGGAAAGTTCTTTATTAAATCAGAAATTCATCAGGGTACTATCTGCCAAATYACTTGTAAGACTGAAAGCTGCTCGTACACTAAAATTCTTGCCACATATAAAAATCATTTTAAGGAAGAAAAAAATACTATACTGAGGAAAACGGTGATGTATTCAAGATTCTTAAGTAAACAGCATCCTAGCTCCTTGCCAGCAACTCATTCAGCCAATTTTTCAGATAACCAACRATTTTCAGCACATCTGACTTTGTCATCATCATCACAAAGTGGTCAACATAGAGGCCTACTGGGTTATTTCCCCCTTCAGCTCCCTCCTATGTTCTTCCACTCCTAATTCCAACTACCAGTTTAGAAGCATTGACTGTATTACCCATCCAACTTCCAAAAAAAAAAATGAAGTAACAGCCCATATGAAGCTTACTCAATTCTGTTGCAGACAGAAAGCAACAAAAAAAAACATTTTCCACTCCCCTGAATCACAGAAACACATCTCAGACATTGCTAATAACACGCCCCAGTAAGTCACTACTAAAGGAACCATTTAAATCTACCCTTTACCTGGATGAAGAAGACACTGGCAGCCTTAGATCATTTCTCTGTTGGATCTAAGCCTGTCTGAGGGTGCCCCCAAACCACCTGGCCCGTTACCAATTTTAGCACCTCCTTTCCTTACAGCTGTTCACACAAAACATCCTGGCCACTTACTCTGTAGACCTCCTCAAGCAGCAGCTTAGCACAATTCTGGCCCAGTTCCTCAGGAAGCACAGCTGCTCCCTGGCCCTGAGGGTTTGAGGCTAGCTCAGCACTGAGAATAGTGCCATTGATGGTTTCTGCAGTGAGGCACATGCCAAAACCTGGAGATCTGAAAGAAAAGGAAAAAATGTGTTTGATTTAAGAACAAAATTGGAGTAATAAGCCAAGAACTTCAAGTCATAAACAGCTCCTCAGATAGGACGACAAATGTCCTGTTTCATACATTAGATTTACTCTGGAAAAGAAAAACTAACATTCTTTAAAAGTCAAACACAATACCACTTGCCACAAAACGCTCTATGCTGGCTTTTYCTGGGCCAAGTTCTTTAAACAGGAAAAATGAAAAAGCAAATAAAATGCCATCCAAGCCTCAGAAACACTATTTTTTTTAAATAGAGATAGATACCTTTCACAGTTACTTAATTCATGTTTAATGAAAAGTTCAAAGGTATCTGGTGTTTCTTCTCTGCAATATCCAACAACAAGACTACCCTTCTCCAGGGCTTCACCTCTTTCCCCTGGAAGCCTCAATAGCTAGCAAGATTATATCCATTAGTCAGAATCAGGGATACTGCTATCACACTGGATTCATACTTAAGATGAATGTCACAACACAGCAGCACCAGAAACCCTGCAAGCCARGTTAAAAGGGAATCAGTTCTTCCCATACTGTTGTTTAACCCTCTGCAAGAGCTACATATAGTAAACATGATGTTGCTGCACCAATTCATTTGACTTTGAAATTTTGTAGAGAGATAAAAATAAAAAAATTGGGACCCTAAAACCACATAGCTCCCAGAAAAATTTTTGCAATTCTGGAGCGACTAAYGTCACAACTGTGGGATATTAAATATGATGAAGCACTGGAAAAGACAAAAAATACTTTAAAATTATTTACCTGTTTCTAGGTTTGTAAGCCTTTGAATCTTACAAATTTTAAATTAGTATTTCRAGAAGCAGAAACTGTGAAAGAAAACATGCACGCCTGCATTTGAGCATACAGACACAAGACAAAAAAATGAGTTATCCAGAATCTTTCAGCCTCAAGAGTGACAAGAGGACAACAGAGATGACAGATAACAACAAAATTGTCTGAATTGCATCCACCACTTCTGTGTCCTGCAGGTAAACAAAATCTGTGAAAGTACAGTTAATTAATTTTCCGTCCTCACTGGTGAGAGGACACTCCTTCAGCCATGCAGCAGAAGACAACCTATACTGCTCTAACACTTCCTTAGAACACTTTGGTGCCATCCTTAATAATACCATTGCCATTAGAAGATCTACAGTCAACTTTGAATGCTGGTTTCCTCAACATACCATGAGAYCTTTGATCTTAATCTCACTTCAAAGAAACATATTTTAAAATGAAATTTTAAATTGCCTTTAGTGGCAGTAATGATGTATGGCATTCCTTGTTTAAGAAAAMACACTTTTATCCCTGTTACATAAATAAAACAATAGTGCATCATCAGTTTTTYCCTTCTGAGAAATATGTATTTCAAGTTAACAAAATAGAAGATTGTTACCTAAAACTCAGTAAAATATCTAAAACTCAGTAAAATTATAGATCAGAACACCCTAGCAGATGATCAAATGCAGAATTACATGTTTGTTTCCAGYGAATTCTGGATACTCACTTTCCAGAGTTGACCCCCTTCATATGATCTGTGTAGATATAGATGTCTGGGAGGAATTTATTGAGGATGCCCCTTGCAGATTCCACCATTCTATTTGCCATCTGTGGTGACACCCGGACAGAGTATCTGCATTTCTGAGCTAAGAAATCCATTGTGGTCACAAGACAAATTGAAAACAGCGACTGACAAAAGTGAAGAGGCCCCACTGCATTATTTCAGAAAACATGGTTTTTATAGATCTATTCATGGGCTCTTGTCCATGTTCCTGTACTTAGAGAACCATATGAATAAGTGCCTTCTACAGTCTTTTCATTGATATACCTTGAAGTGAAGTACACAGACCATGTGCTAAAGAACAGATCATGACTAGGTAAACATCTACCTTAAAAAYGCCCTTCACCAAATTTAAATTGCTATTCTGTCATCTTGTACTTTCTTATAATGAAGGAAGCCCAATGTGCTCTGCTCTTCACACAGTATTAGAACATGATCCTGAGAGAAGTTTCTGTGAATTAGCAGCAAAAAATCCTGTCCTCCTGTTTCTGTCAGGAGAAACTGGGAAAATGAATACAAAATTAAAGACAAATGTTTCAAGAAAMAATAATTAAAAGGCTCTAAGACAAATATCTTTGCTATCTCCAACTATTTTGCAGTGCTCTGAGGCTATCAAGTTCACTGGCTCTCTAGTCATGCAGCATCTGAAGGCTCCAAGAAAAGATTACCACCTTCCTGTTCACCCCAACCCACCTCCTCACAGTATACTAGAGATTAACTTCCTTTGTGCCCTTGCACTCTGGTGCTGCTTCAGAGAAACTCCAAACAGATCTTCAGATGTGCAAAGCACGTTATGTTTTAAATTCCACCCAACTATAATGCAGGCTCATGCTCTGCACATTTAACCACCCATCTCCAGACATACTCACAGTGCAATGCAGTGAAATACACTCCCAAAAATCCCAGCTGGTAGGGAAGATTTTCCTTTTCTAAGCATCTCTTGTGGACTAGGCAAACTAAAAACTTTAAGATCTTAGGGGCAAAATCATAGAAAAAAATCAGAAAACTAGTTGTTCTGTACGGTTAATGCACTCAGTATTTTGGATTACTATAAAACATTACTGCAATAGAATCTCCTCAACTGTGAGGAAGACAATTTGCTCAGATGAATCTTGAAGGGACAAAAGTACACCTAGAAAAGATCCAAGGACTTATTCCTTCCAGATGTTTTGTTTTCTACTGTCTTGAAGAACTACTTAATAGCTAAACTAAAACAACWATCAGGCTTAAAGGCCAACCTGCATCCCTTGAGAAAAGGCCCAGGAAAGGCTACAGAAAAAGCAGAAGTTCAGAATTCAATCAGATACATSAATCAAAACCAGTCAAAGTGGCCCAGAATGGCGCTGCCCATTAATTTAGAACAACGGCAGTAAAGTCATGATCATTGCTTCCTCCTCCACACAGAAATAGACAGAACTACTTACTACAGTGGGAAATGGAGGTGTAAGAAAATTACTTTCTTCATCAATAGACCATGGCACCCAACACCAAAACCACAAGGAGCTGCCACCTTTTTGCTCTACAGCTAATGCATCAAGTAAAACTGCTCTTGCTTGGCAATACTGCACTTATTCAAATGCTGCAACTGGACAAGGTAGTCAGAACTATCCAGCTCTCACTCAGAGTTGTGCCAGTATGCCAAAAAGTAAAAGAAGAAACAAGCTGCAAGTCTACACCTCTGGAAGTAAACTGGACTTCATTCCTATTCTCCTTCTGCGTAAAAAATGCCAGATCATGCTAGGGGCACTCAACCACAAATCAACTTACATGTTGGCCACTGCTTAAGACAGTTTCCTGTAAGGGATTTCTGCCTTCTTCCTAGAATGACAGCAGATTCACGACAGACACTGTCGCTATTTTGTGTTGGCTAGAATAACAGACACAAAGACATATATATACACACAAAAAGTAACCCCTTTTTTCTGAGACAGGCCTCTTTTATCCACTTTAGCAACCAGTGCATACATTTGTGTCACACATACATTGGTCAGTGAGGCTGTCACTTTCTACTCAAAAGCATAGGATTGGTAGGTTTGCAAAAGCTACAGTATTAGTAATGTTTATAATTCTAAGCCACCTGCATTATCAATTCTACATTCCAATCTCTTTTCTCAAGACAGCCAAGGACGTGGTGTTTTTCTCCCATACAAGCTGTTAACACTCCCTACAAGACACCATACAAAAGCCACAAGAGAAAAATAAAACCAAAAGGAAGCAACCCAAAACATTAACTAGATGTGCAGCTGTTTGAAAATGTGGAGTSCACAACAGTATTTTGTGTCCTTATCTCCATGCGGGAGTAAAACCTCCTCTACTTCCATCTGCAGTGTTACTATCAAATATGAAAAGCCAAAGAACTTTCTTTCAAAATACACCAAAAAGCTTAGTGTGTGCAGCAAGGTGTAAACTGAACTAAGATTTAAGCTTTCATTTAACTTCTACTAGACTCATTAACTGCCAAGATGTCACCTATTCTATGCATAACTAAAACTACATTTKTTACTACTAAATTTACACACAAGGTAAGATTTCTTTTAGTGCAGMTGCATTATGTGATGGAAGGCATTTTAACTTTTTCTTCCTATTGAAAGGATGTGAAATAGTACTGTTTAGTTTTGAATTTATTTACTTGTCTGCAGATGCTTTCTAAACAGCAATGTTTTTTGAACACAGCAGTTTTGAGACACRGTCCTGAAATCTAGCTGTATGACCCCTCTCTGCAATATTACCCCGTGTTGCCTAGATACACGCTCAGCAATGGGAGTGCACTTCTGTGACTTCCAAGTTAGAGGATTTTTTGTTTTTAAAGCAAAGTGATTTAAAAGTAGAAAAACATAAACAAACAAAAAGGATACGCAGTTCCTCTGATGCGCTTGATTTTTCCAGGGTCTGTGAACTGAACAGGCTGCAAGACCTTTCTCACTGGGCAAGAAAATAGTATCTCTCCACCTCCTTTGGGAGGCATTCCTCTTCGGTTGATCTAGAAGGAATAAAGCAGGAAAAAAGCAGGTTAGTAAACAGCACAAAGAATGTGCCTACACACCCCAAAATTACACTTTTATTTCACATAGAATAAAATGTTTTAAGTAGGGGCATTATGCRAACACAGGCAAGAAAAAGACATCCTAAAGGCAGAAACAGATTTCACAACAGAACAAAAAGTAGGCATTGATTTCTTTTTTCCTCTCTGCTCAAGTACAATAAGGCAGGATTTCTCATTAGGAAATAGTGTAAAACAAAAAAAAAAAAAAAMCATCTTTACCAAAACAACTTTGGCTTAATACTGGTCTCTAACAGCAAATCTGCACCTTGCTGCTGAAGAGACTGAGCTCAGCTGGTTAGAGCATGATGCTTATRRTGTAAGTATCGTGGCTTTGATCCCTCTATGGGCCATTCAGTTAAGAGTTGGACTTGATGGTCCTTATGGGTCCCTTCCAACTCGGACTATTTTGTGATTCTGTGTGTGAGGGACTAGAATGAACTTATTCCCACTAAAAGGTCTGTCTAGCCTGACCCAGTTCCACTATTCCAAGCCAATAGCCACAAGGATGGAGCTGGGAGGTGGGCCAGTGAGTGGGTCCAGGTAAGGGGSCCCACAGCCACACAGGGCAAGGCTGTGGGGAGCTTGAGGCTGGTCCTGTGCAGGGCCACAGGAAAAGAGGCTGACAGTGCCAGGACAATGGTGTGGCCACTTGGGCTGTGGGCAGCCTGGRGCGAAGCACCCAGGGATGAAGCTTTGTAGATGAAGGCACCACCAGGTGCCAGCAGTGCAGCCAGGTTTTCAAACATTTCTCTAACCTAAAAAAATACCCAAACATTGTTTGATACCCATATTTACTGGGCCTCTGAAGATTGTGGTGTTTAAGAAAAGCTTTCTTATGTTTTCCAAACKGGAAACAAATCTCAACTACCCAAACACAGATCCAGCTCTCCTACACAKGAAGAAGGTTAAACATTCCAGTCACATGCATGGGGCAGAAGGAACAGATATAAATAAAAAGATAATAAATTAACTGAAAAACAACAAAAAGGAAMAAGGTTTTTCAGTTTACTCTGGAGACTTTCTCCTCAGCCTCTCTATCACTATGTGGCTTGTATGACATTCAAAACATGTTGAGAAAAGGGGGTTATTTTAGAAATGTGTGTAGCCACAACCAGTTATCTGTTAGAGACAGAAACCCACAGTAGGCATATGGTCCAGTGAAGTACTGCAGAAGTATCATTTCAACAGATCCTAGAAAACAAAGGAACAAACTGTCTTACCTTGATTTCCAGACTTTCACCATCAATTCCAAACTTCTTCAGAAGRGGTAGAGCTGTTGCCTTAAGGACATCAACCTATGGAACACAGAATTCAAGAAGCAGACTCTTTATTGGAAGATATGTTAGTCAGTWTCTTAAAAATCACTACGATATGATGTGACTAATAAAGACAAGTCTTCTCCATAGAAAGTATTTTATAGGAAGACATTTACAGGGAGTGTAGCACAGAGAGCTTCATCTAGTTAGACTACCACAGTACATCATTACTAAAAAAATATCCAAGAACAAATTACTGGCAGATGGGATTTCCTATTCTGGCTKTCTTCCTCAGCCTGATTTTGAGTTCCATTATGGTTCAGCTAAAGCATCTTACTTGTTTCTCTGAACGTTGAAACATTTCTCTGAACACTTCTCTGTTATTGAGAAAATAATATTCTTCTGTCACTACTAAGGAATTTCTACAGCTAAATAAATTATTGCAAGAACTGCTTTTTTTCAACCATCACTGCAAGAGCAGGGCCTTTATTTGGAAGGAAGGTCATTCTTCTACCAACAACTTTTTTTTACCTGTTTGTAAGAAACAGAATCTTATAGATAGCTTCTATTGAAGCACTTAAAAGAATCTGAAGTGGGCAACACATCATCAATATATCCCTTTTAAGGCAGGTGGTCCCCAGGTCCAGGTCTGAACAGAATTATCCTTGCCATTGTTCTTCCTAATTGCTGACCTAAGACTACAGTGACTGACCTCTTCCTCCCTCTTCGGAAACTTCAGTAGCATTGCCAAAAGTGATAAAAATTATTTAGTAGTGCAACAGCATAGGGAGTTACCCAAGACAAATGGCTGCAGAGAGACAGGATCAGGACAGCATGACCAAAGAGAAACGAAATGCAGATGAAGGGAACAGGCATGAGGCAGGCAGCATTTACAGAGGGAGAATAAAAGCACCCTCTTTCCCAAATCTTCAGCCAGAACCCACGATTCTTGAGCTTCATCTTCTCWGCTTTGCAGAGCATGCAAGCCACTGACAAAGTAGTAGCACATACCCCACCCACAAATCTGTGAACATTCTGTTACAGGTACCTGAGGAGYTATGAGTGTATGTTGCAGTTCTCATTCTTCAAATCCTGCCGGACAACATACTTCCTTTCTTACAGAGAGGCATTTGCTGTTTTTTTAATGGTAGTATCAATATTTGAATGCCTTCATTAAAAAAAGTCGAACCTGTAAGCCAATGCTTAACTTTTGATATTTATGCAATTTATGTTTACAGAAAGGCTACCTTGATTTGGTTCTTCRGTAGTATTCATTAACTATACAAATTTGATTTTTAGAGCAAAGCCTTTGCTAACATGCATGCACACAAATATGCAAGTACCACTGGCAGAAGTTTCAACAAGCTGATCTGGTTCACATTAAAATTACACAACATTTCTCCCTTCTCCTTATGAAACAAAACCTAACAGTAAAAAATAAAAGCTTTACTGTGTAGGTTAAGAACTCCAAAAACTCAAAACTGGTCATAGTTTTCAGTCCTCAGATAAATTCCAGGCATAATACTTATAGACACCAGACAGTCAAATAATAAGAGACTGACTGTTTCAATTTTGCAGCCCAAACAGAGAAGGCAATCAGCAGTATTTAAAGAGGACAAGACTGTTCTGCCTCACAGACAAGTGGAAAGTTAGGCAGGATGAAGAGCATTTCACTGAAAATCACAAACCAGCAGCTGAACCAAGAAAGCACATTTTTCTAGCCTTTTGCTATAAACCCCATCCTTCAGCTCCCCTTGGAGGACAGTTATTCAATTTCCACGACTAACAACATAACACTAAGTTGCACCAAAGCAAAGGCATTACAAAACTGAGGGTATACCATCTTTACAAATGACAACATGCTAAGTCCCATAGATAACTGCTTTTTCACAAAGTTGTGTAAATGCAAATCACTTCCCTTTAAAGAATCTACAGTAGCTAAGAAAAAGGAGGAAAATAACTTTTATCCCGTGCAAAGATATAAAAAATATAAACAAAAAACCCAGAGACCCTACAGCATATACCTAAGGAAGGGAAAAGCATCAGTTGGCCTGCATATCCATTAGCATCACACAAATCATTTAACCCCGCCATACATACAGTGTTATGTTTTGTGAAAAARGGCCTAGACTGGAAGAAGGGAGAAGAGAAAAAATAGTTTAACATAGAAAAAAAGTGGAGGGAAAAGAAAGCTCARTAAGAAAAGCTTGTTTTCTACAGACAACTGCTAAATTTTGATAAATGTTGAAGATTACTGCTCCTAAGCTAAAATTTCAAATGTTAGTCTCACATCAGCACAACAGTCATTTGAACTTAAAGCCTTATGGCACAGCTGTAAAAAATATTCCACACTTGGAAACCCAAACATTAAGAATGGTTACTCTAAAACAGGTTACTGCAGCTGTATCTAAATGTCAGAATAACAACATGTAGAGAAGGAAAATAGGAGCTATCATTTGCGTGCCACTTCCATTCCCTTCAAAAAGGCACTTTATAAAAACATGCCTTGCATACATAATCACTATACAGAGAATCTTAAAACTGCCTCAACCCAGTCCCTCATGGTTGGSCCCACAAGCTACCCGGGGTCAGATCTCACCAGTGACCCACAGGAAAATACAATGCAAGTGTAGGCTGCCAATGAACAGTTCAGGCTGGTATTCCAGACACTTACCTCTTCCCAACAGTGTGAGCAAAGGAGCATTTCTCTCATGYGTTTAGGATGTATAACTCACACAGTAATAATAATGTACATAGAATGTTATGGGGTTGGAAGGGACCTTAAAGATCGTCTGGTCCCACCTGCCCCTGCCATGGCACAGACAMYTCCCACTAGACCAGGTTGGTCAGGGSCACAAGCAATCTGGCTTTGAGCACTGCCAGGGTTGTGGCATCCACAGCTTCTCTGGGCAATCTGTTCCAGTGTCCAATAATACACCAAATAATATGTATAATATTGTCCGTAATAATGTCACCACAGTCTCAGCTGGAACAAGTGCACGTTACTCAGTGGCCACAGTACTCTTCTGGACTGATGCCAGGTGTTAAAGAATTCTCCACTGCACCCACYGGAGGGCTATTAATGTACATAAACAAACACTGAAGTAAAAAACACAGACTCTTATACTCCAGCAATGCAGCCTTACTGAATGCAGCTGAAGCCTTTCCTTCCACAAGATACCCTTTAGAAACACCTTTCCTCTCGCATGGACCTTTTCTACTTTTCCCACAGCAGGAGATCCACAATATTTCCTTGCGTTCMCCCCTTACAACAAGGGGGTCTTTGGTAAAGAGCAACCTCAAACCACACGCAGTCACATCCCAGAAGTACTTTTGAGGCTGTACAAAAGCCATGATCTCAGTGCTGAGAGTGAGACAAAGCCCAGTGAGTCAGACTACCAGTTCACTGCTACCATGAGAGAAAGGTCACACTCCTCTGGTTGCAAACATTCCTGTCACTTGCCCCATGGATGCCTCCCACTGGCTACAGCTCTTCATAAACTGCCCCAGYRTGGATTCCCCATGGGTTCACAARTCCTGCCAGCAAACCTCCTCAAGCATGGGCTCTTCTCTCCAYGGGGCTGCAGGTCCTGCCAGAACCCTGCTCCAGTGCAGGCTTCCTATGGGTTCACAGCCATTCAGGTATCCACCTRCTCTAGCCTGGGGTCCTGCACAGGCTGCAGGTGGATATATGCTCTGCTRTGGACCTTCATGGGCTGCAGAAGGACAGCTCCAGTGCATTTCCCCTTTTTCACTRWCCTTGGTGTCTGCAGGGCTGTTTCTGTCACATATTCTCACTCTTCTCTMCAGTTGCAGGTTATTCCACAGTTCCACCTGCCACTCTTCCTCCTTTAATGTTACCCCAGCAGGKCTACCATCACCACTGATGGGCTTAGTCTGGGCCAGCAGTGGGTCTGAGTCGGAGCCAGCCAACACAGGCTCTGTTGGATCAGTGGCAAGTTTCTGTCAGCTTCTTACAGAAGCCACCCCTGGTGATAGAACCTGGCCATGCAAGTCAACCTACTAAGTTGAGTAGAGAGGTTCTTACAAGAAGAGCAGCAGGGGAAACACCTAGCTCATTTTAAACTCCCCCATTATATTCATATTGGTTTGCTTTTCAATCTTCTCCTTGGAAAGTCAGAAAGCATACAGATGGATGGACAAATTCAAGCATCCCTTTTTGGGCAAGCATAGGTCATAAATGTTCACCCAATTTATTAACACTGTCTGTCTATTGAAAAATACAAGTCCAAATCAATTMAAAACCAAGTTTCCATTTACTTAAGCATACAAATCAATTAGGGTAGCAGTTAAATTTGTGCTTTTAGTCTCAGCAACCAGCAGAGCCACATGCCATACAAAATAACTTGTAAAAGTCCTTAAAGTAGCTTATTGGTGTGCACCAGGACTGTTTTCCAGGCAAGTTAAACAGACATAAACAAGGTTTAAACCAATTTGAGGAGCTGGTATTCAGTTACAACCACTCAACAAATTAACAAGTATGAGCTGGGTCACATTAACTGGAGTTGTTACTGTGTTGTCACTAACAACTATTGTGTAGTTGCTACTACAAGAACTTACGATGTAATTCTCTACATGCATTTTATTTACATTTAGGATCAGGAACTTGAGTCAGCTGATGTACACCAAGCCACATGTCTGAGCTTCGGCAAGTGCAAGCACCCTTCAACTACGAACTGGCTTTAATTCTTACACCCTTTGAACAAAGACAGTTTAATCTCAGGCCCCTGTGACTGATGCCAAAAAGGGCATAGTTTCCAGAATCAAGACTCAGTTGTTTAGATGAGTGTCCAAACTTACTTGAAAGCAACATGAACACTGGACTACTCTTCTTCTCCAGATTATGCAAGAATTTTTCCATGGTGATTGGACAGTGAACAAAAAATACTTCTTTGATTCTTACTACTTACCCATTATATTAGGTACTTTTAATCACAATGACTGAAAGGGCAGCAAAAAATGCTTCCTCTTTTTTTGTTACCGTGCTTTGTACAACCTACTCTGATCCTTCGACTCATGTGGATGTCTCACAGAGCCACAGGTGAGAGTGATGCCTTATCCATTAGGCTCACCTRAAACAGAGGCCAGACAAACTCAAGAGAATGAGAATAGACAACTTTAACACAGGCCTAACAGGCCTACTGGTACATTAAGGGCAGACAAAAGCCTCCTCCTGAGGCTACACCCAAAATGGACACCAAGTCACAAGATCTTCACCTCTCAGAAGTTCTGCCTTATTAACATATTGGGCCTTAATTCTCCAATGAGATGTCAGGGCACGATGCCAACCACCCCAAACTCGCTCCCCCTGCAGCTCACTGTTGTTTACATATTTTGGGGCTCTGAGGCAGCGAGGTGTCCTTGGATCCAGGCTCAGAGAGGGACTGTTTTGTCTAAAGATGGGAGAATGGTAGTTTTATTGTTGTAYTAGAGAGAAGTACAAGAATACAGACACATGAAAACATAGAAACAAAAAATCCTAAGGCATCAAGAGAGTGAGCTTCTTAAATGACAAGAGAAGTACAACTGCAAAGCCATAATTACTAGCAGGACTCAAAGGCTCGTGTAGTATCTGAAGTTCTACTTCACATGTATTTGTATTCATTTAAACCAGACAAGTTTTCAGATGACGATGTGTCCCTTAATGTACTCAGAGGAATAGTCCCTTAATCTACTCCAGAGGTAAACAGGCAATGTCCAATGACCATTTAAAAAGTAAACAGTAATACTGCTCTCTAAAAGCAAAGCTTTATGTTCAGATTTTTTTGAGAAAAATAATGAAGAGCACTACCACTAATCATTTCTTCGGCATTCTGATACATGTCTCCCACAGGTCACTTTTGTAACAACACTGTACAAAATAAAGGACTGAAGATCAGCAGTGACAGAAATTAAGTCAAGCATTTCACAGCCATTTGACCTACCATACCTTCTGGCATGTTTCTGAAGAACCAGAGAGTTATTACATATTTCTGCTACTGTAATTTCTTAATCACCATGTGACTTTTGCTTCTAATAGAAAGAAGGCTTGAAAGCAGTGGCAACATGACTATGTCCAGAATACAACAGAAAAGAAACAATCCTTCCTTTTTGCATTCAAATTTTAAAGACAGTTTCCTCTTTGTACAGTAAATACATGTTTGAGATAAGACAAATAATCTGTTGTAATTGTAAGAGAAGAGGAGGACCAAACCTGTGGCAGGGCCTCACACTGTATTCAAAAGGAGTTTTCAGGGGAGAAGACAGAAGAAGTACAGAACTAAAAGTCAATAGGGGGATTACAACTGAAKTTTAGAGCATGGTGCAGTTAAGCAGGTGTTTTTTTGATTCAGAGCTTGCTAATGCAGCAACAGTGGATACTTTTGGATGCRAGTGATAATAAAAATGCAATGTGTTTTAGACACTTCTTCCTGATCTTTTCTGTTTTAGAGGAAAAAATATCCTCCTCTGACTCTTAAACTTTATTACTTACCGAAGGATCTACTTGGTCATTTGTTACTCCCCTCAAGACAATCTTCAATGGATGCTTCATGAAAGGTGCCAGGCAGAGCAGACTTTCCAAATAGTAGCCAATACCACGACTGGGGCTGCAGTCGTGYTCCAGGGAGCCTCCGTAGAGCAGACCAGGCTGATAATACAAGCTAGTACCTGGGGAAGAGRCCAGGAGAGCAAACCAAATGAGAGCAGTGTAACAACACTGGCCATCACTACAGCATAAAAACACTTTGCAACAACGTATGCAGGCAAATCTGAGGCAGAAGACCACATGGAAGATGGTAGCACTTCCAGCACACTATTTACACGTTCGCAGCTAATAAATGGGCAAAGCCTCATGAGTCTGTCTGTCCTGCACATCATTTTCCTCCATTCTCTTCCCCTCAAACCAAGGATCTCTTAGCAATCTCCAAAATGCTGATACAAGCAATTACCCTTTAGCTGAACATGATCAGTCTATCAGGTTACTGCTGTCTTGGCATATGGGATGGCAATTAATTTGCCTTACTCACCAACTGAAAATACCTTAATATCCTTCAAAAAAAAAAAAAAAAAAAAAGAAAAAACAAGAAAAGAAAAAAAAACCCCTCAGACCAGGTGAGGTTTTAATGTGGGATGCTTTTCACTCTAATCAAACCCTTGTCTAAGCACGAGTAAGCAAGCAGTCTGGCTCAGAAGCCTCCACCTGTAGGGGATGAAGGCCTTTTCTTTTCTTCTACAAAAATTGATTCTTGCTCAGAGGAACCTTTCCCCACTATGAAATCCTGCATAYTACCTAACAAAATACTAATTTTAATTCTTGGACAATAGTTTACTTAGCTCTCTGCATAATGGTGGAGCACTGATCTTTTTGCACATGATCAATTATTACAAAACTTGGTTTTTGAATCTTCTCAGTCAATCATATCTGAACACCTACCTYCATCAATACAAAACTTCAATTCCACTGCAGAAGCTGATAAATCCTGGAGACCAGAACAGACAAAGCAGAAAAAAACAGATCTCACCTGTTTGGTTTATTTCAATCCTTGAGCCATTGGTCACTTTGTCAATTAGGCGAATAAAACTTGCTTCRAAATCTAAGGAGTAGAGCACAGACAGAATTATAAAGTTTGTTAAAAGTTCAACACCTTACTTGTACTTTTAGCCTTTCCTGCCTTCCATGACCGTAGGCTACTCTCACACTTCAAGTCGTGGTATAATGCTACCACACGAGAAAAGGCAATTCACTGTAAAAACAGAGATACTAATGTGAGCCTCCAAGCTTATTGGCATCTCAGGTCAATCAAGATGCCCTCAGATGTGGCAGCTGAACGAGTCAAACTCCTCTCCCTGGTACACAGCATAYGATACAAGTAGACACTTCTGATCACAGTGGCTTCAGAGACCGCTCTTGCCCAGGACAAAACCTTTGACAATTTACATTTTGCTCAGTATAAAGCAAAATATACAAATCATAGCAAACAGGACCCCATATATTGAAGCATGGCAAGCTAATAACAGCTTCACATTATTCTCTGTGAAAGTGTTAGCTTCAAAGAAGGGGACATTTAGATGTGAAGTGCCATTGTGGCATAGCTGTTCCGCAGACACAGTCAGTTGTTACAGACTCTCACATCTTCCATTCCCAAAAGTCACAGACATACTTAGGGAAAGAGAAAGACAAGTCTTCCCACTGCCTCTTTTGGTACTGTGTCCACTATACTACAGCAGTYCGTGTGGAACTAATTTCTCAGTTTCTCTCGATTGTGCGGACTCTCACTCAGAAACAATAGGACTAGCAAATTTAAAACATAACACAACCAAAAAAATCCCAACCAACCAAAACCAAACAGGAAACAAGAAAAAAAACCGCTAAAAAAGCTATCTCAGGAGGAATATGCCAGTACTCTAGTACTGAAGTATCACAACATGGTACAGACTCAATATCAAGGGAGACAAATGCACATACGCAGAACTCAAAACCCAGATAGTTTCAAGAGCTAACAGCATCCACATAATTGTAGGTTGTGGAACTCCCTTAGCCATAACCCCATGTTACTTCTTACACAGTAATCAGATATTTCTTTCTATATGTGACTCTAGGATGTAATAGATATTTAAACCACTGAGAGCTACCTGCTGAATTTACAGTTTGTCAATATTTGCATAATATGATTTATGCCTCGGTCACATAATACTGTTTTTTCTCAATGTGATGACAATGCTAAAACTTTATGACAGCTTATATGCTTGCAAAGTTTATATGACAGCACTGGGGCATCTTCCAGTCACATCCTTGTGAGCACACATTTCACTCTCGGAGAACACCTGTGGAAGAGTTTACAAATGTTCCAGTCATGAAAAGAAAAAAGAACTGCATGTTGAATTATMAACACCAATCAGAATTTGTTATTGTTTTTCTGCTACACACACAGTTTACACTTGAACCCAAACTTTAGAGGCAATTGAAACACTTCTTAAAAAACCATGGCAATATCTTCAAACTTCACCACCAGCAAATGCTCCATAATACTTATGGTTATAGTAAATATTAAGTCAAGTACACAAAAATGCTTTGGCAATTTCTGAGTAGAATTTTTAGCTACAAACTCAAATCTTCTCAGAAGGCAGAGGAGCATCTAAAYCTGCTCTGAACTTCGGAACAGCGATCCTTGCCCAAAAAATAACTGAACATCACAATAATGTTTCTTCCTCAAACTCTATCCATTGTTTTCTTACTTCAGTTTATGATGGAATTCAGCCCGGGACACCAAAGGCCTTGGACAAGAATGAAGAAGGTACTCCCTAAGAAAGGTTTCCCTGAAACAAGTATGCAGAAATAAGAAGTAAATGGATTTCACCTCTTTCACTTGCACCGTTTCGGCAAATTGATAAACAATCAAAGCATAGTGTATGACCCATTAAAACTGCACGAACATGAGCTCCCAACAAACACACGGAGCACACGATGCTTGGGCACGCAGCAGAAACCACGACGCAAGAGCAGGCAATTAATTCTGCCATCCCGACTGCGAACCCACCGTCACGGAGACGAGAAGCAGCTTGGGGGCTGTCAGCGAGGCTCACGCACTCGCAGCGAGCCGCTCAGAGCCGCGCCCGGCCGCTCCCGCAGCGCCTCCCGCCAGGCGCGGAGCGAACGGCGCTGCCCCGCGGGGCGGGAAGGGCGCACGGCAGTGCCAGCCCCGTCTCACCGGGACGGCTCGGCAYGGCAGCACCAGCCCCGGCCGCCCGTACCGGCCCTTGACGGCCCTCTCCAGAGAAAAGGCTGACCTCGCGGAACGCAGGGCTGCCGAGCCGAGCTGAGCCGAGCCGAACCAGCGGGACGGGATGGTACTGCCCGTCYACCCCGCGCCGGCGGGCAATGAGGGAGGCTGACGACACACACCGACGAGGGTATGACAGACCCCAGCTCCGGTCTCCTTCACCGCCCCACGCCGCTCCCATGCCTCCTCCTCCTCCTCCCGAAGCCCCGCGCCCCACGTGTGACAGCTCCGCCCGGGACGGGTGTGCGGAGCGTCCAGGGCAGAACCCATCCACGAGGAGACACGGGCACGCAGCTGTGTCCCCCTTCCCCAGTAGGATCCGCCGAGGTGGAGCCTGGACTGTCCCAGCTCCCGCTTGGGGCTGCCCCTCCCTGCCCGGCAGCGGGTCCCGGGCACAGCCGGCGCCGGAGCTCCGCCGCCCCCCGTYCTCCTGCCTCCTGGGCGCGGTGCCGCCGCTCACCGCGGAGACCGGGGTCCTCCTCCTTGGCGCGGATCTTGCGGATCTTGAGCGGGCGCCCGCTGAGCGTGGCCAGCACCAGGCGCTGCCGCAGGAAGTTGCAGCCCGTGTAGCTGAGGCAGTGCGCCTCGCCCGCCATCCCGCTGCCCACGTGGTTGGAAACAGGAAGCGCTGGGACAGCGGCGGGGGCAAAGGGCAGGGGGCGGGCGGGGCTGGGAGGGGTCGCACCGCCCTCCAGCTTCCCATCCSCCGGCACCGCGGCGCGGCGGGCCGCCCTGAGCGGCGGGGCCGTGGCGAGTAGGGCGTGCCTGGGTTTACCGCGACAGGGGTGGCAGTCTCTGCCTTTTCCTCCGCTCTCGCAGTCTGCGTGTTTTCATCTCAAACTTAAGGAGTGTGAGAGTGTTGGGAGAAGTATCCGACCGAAGCCCGGTGCTTGGCCCGCGCTTCCCCTCGGCGGTTCACCTTCTCCCTCGTCGGGCGGGTAAGGGCGGCCCGGAGCGGAATGTGGTGCCTGCACCGGGATACTGTCCCCATATAGAAATGAGCCCATTTTGAAAACACGTTACTTAGGCAGTACTTACAGTAATTTATACCTGGCTACCCAAACCAAAGGAAAACGGCGCGGAGGAGTGAGTCTCGCGGTCTTCGGGACAGCCTGWCTGCCTAATGACAGTGACAGAGTTCTGCTGTCCTTAAGGAGGGGACTGTTTAGAGCTTTCAATCTCTATTTTAAGAGAAACATGAATTACAGTGAGGGTATGGCAATGCCAGTTGTTAGGCTACATTTACGTCCACAGGAAAAGGAGTTTCTTAGAATGGAGTAGCCCGGTTGGAATGGTTGTACGAGAGTCATTTAGCCCAAATGCTTCACGTCAGGGCTGACCAAAAGGTAAAGCAGGTTGTTCATGGCACTGTCCAAATGTCCCTTACTCACTGATAGGCTCAGGGCATCATCAGGCTTGACCACCCTCGCTATAAAGAAATGCTTCCTAGGGGCCAGTCTGAACCTTCCCTGGCACAACTTTGAACCATTCCCACACATCCCTAGATCCCAGGGAGAACAGATCAGCACCTCTCTCTCCACCTGCCCTCCTCAGGAAGCTGTAGAGAGCAAGGAGGGTGCCCCTCAGCCTCCTTTTGTCCAAACCAGACAAGCCCAGAGCCCTCAGCAGCTCCTCACAGGCCATGGTGTCCAGTCTTTCCCCCTGTGTCACCCTTCTCCAGACACACTCGAGGTTCCTCAGATCATTCTGGAGTGGTGGAGCCCAGAGCTGCACCCRAYCCTCAGGGAAAGGCCCTGTCCTCCCTCAGGCTGGGTGTGGAGGGACAGTCACCTTTTGGACGGCCGGCCATGCCGAGTTTGGTGCACCCAGGGTGGGTTCATAGCCCTCCTGCTGCC